TCTTTTTCCCCAAATCTTGGGGATTTCTTTTTCAGGGTTATCACCTGCTGTTCACCCACACTACTTTAGCCAAGGTGAATAGTGGGAAGAGGGAGTAATGATGGGAGGGGGAGTAATGGGGAGGAGAGGGGAGGAAAGGGGAAGAGGGGAGAAGGGGGAGGAGAGGGAAAGCCTACAAAACTCAAAGAACAGCATTCTTGGGAGAAGCCTTAAGTGGAAGGCAGAGTGGGCTAGAGGCCCTTGTCCCAGACACCCAGATCTGAGAGCGAAACGTGGCTTCCTAATGAACTTTAAATTACCAACATCGCTAAACTCTCCCTTAATAGACTTGTAAAGATCTGCTTGCTACCTTCCCCCCTTCATGTAGAATTTGTAATCAAGAGCCCAATTTTGTCATTTGGAAATACTAATTATCTAATCACGGCATGCCGCATAACGTACTTGTCTGCCCAATTAGCTAGGACAATTATTAAAATTCAGAGGCCTAATTATGTCTCAATTTAATGCTGGCAAACTTGCATACATAGCAGTAATTAAAATCCTCTCTTTCCCTCTGCCTTTAGGGCACAGGATGATTAGGCCCTGTCAGGGGGCGGACTGAACCAAACCAGTGAAGCGTATTGTACATCGTGACCCTGCATTGTTAAGAGTGTCAACATATTAACCTGAATTCCCCTCAGCCCCCACATAATCACATTTGGTGCAGGAATAAAGGAACTAAAACATGAAGCATTTTATTAAAAAAACATAAATTCTTTTTAATTAATGCTATGAGGGTTCTGATGAATTCAATGCTTCCAAGTGCTGGAAGACATAAGACCAGCTCATCTAATTACTGGCAAATTTGCTGTTGTTAAAACTCCTTTAAAAAAAAAAGAAAGAAAGAAAGAAAAAGAGAGAGTGAAAGAAAAAAGAGAAGCCTCCTTTAATGAAAATTATTTTGGGATAGAATATATTGGGGGTGGGACTAGCTCGTTGGTTTTCAGTGATACTGCTGCAAACTAGCTTTGATGAGAGAACACAATGTTGACTTCCAAATGGTTCAACCCAAGACTGCAGGCATTGAGGGGGCTATACTTTAATGGTTGAAAGACATTAATAAGAGTGGAAAATTAAAAATCATAATATTGAAACAAATTCAAAATATTTATCTTTGGAACTCCTAAAATTTGATGTCTGAAAGCAAACCAGCATGAGGAAGCCTCACACTGAAAAAGTCTACAATGCTTTGGAAGACCTTTGGTATGCTGAATCCAGGGCAGCCTGTCCCTTCTGCTGCATTTGCTTCCTCTCGTGTATAAAATAAAAAGTACAAAGCCCACTGAGACTTCTAAGCTATCTTCTGAATTCTAGGTTCCATCCACAGTGGCTTTTTATATAGTAAACGAATGAAGTGATCAGTCTAGCCCCTAAATAGCTAATTTATAATAAGATTTTTTTTAGTTGCTTCCAAACTTTTCATCACCAGATAGCTTTTAGAGAGTAAGACAGCGAGACCAGACAGACAGACAGACTGACAGACAGACAGACAGACAGACACACACACACACACACACTGTGGTGGATTGACTGAGAGATGTCCTCACGGCCTCAGGCATTTGGACATTTGGTCCAGAGTTGGTGGCACCACTTGGGAACCCTTACATGGTGCCTACACAGGGAGCATCTGTGTCATGCCGGGACCTGAGGGCTCCCAGTTTCCTGCTGCTGTCACCATGCCTGCTCCTTGCTATCCTTCTCCCTTGACTTATGGACTCCTACCCTCTAGAACTGTAAGCCCCAACAAACCTTCCTTCTATAAGTTGCTTTTGATCATGGTGTTTTATCACAGCCACAGAATTGAAACTGATATACACCCTTACCTAGTCAGAGTTCTCCTAGCTCAGTCTTACCTTGTATCTCATTGCAACCTTGTGACATGAAAGGCTGGGCAGGCATGCTTCCATCTGTTTGGATAAGGTGGTTAAGAAACTTGTACCAATCTCATCACTTTATGCCCTGCTTCCTAATTTTAGGCAAGGCAAGACTGACCTAGCCATCATGCCACCCACCATTGTAATTTTAAAAAGTGGCACGCAAGAGAAAAACCCTGATGCAACGGAGCTGGGGTGGAGTTTTTTTTTTTTTTTTTTTTTTTTTTTTTTTTTCTGTTTTAATTGGGGGAAAGTGACTGGGAAACGGGGGAGGAGAGAAGGGAGACTGTGAGAACAGGAATGGCAGAAGAGAATGGGGGGAGAGACAGAAAGATGGGCAGAGAAGCAGAGAGAGAAAGAGAGAGAGAGAATGGGAGGTGGGCAGAGCCTTTTAAAAGGGGACACAGTAAATACTCGCAGATGGTGCTCTTAGTGGCTGCAGCTGAGGGTGTATCCTGCCAGAACCCCAAGGACAGGCCAGTACAGATGCCTAAATACTAACATCCACTACTTCAGACAAAAGCCTGTAGATTAAGATATTAGGCAGGGCTGTTTAGTTAGGTTAAATATCTCATATTGAGACCAAGTACGGATGGTGTTATATTATCCAATAAGATAGAGCCTATGCAGCATGTGGGAGTGACCTCGATCCTCAGTCAATACCCCTTTGCAACATGCTTAGTCAGGTTGGCTAAACTGGTTCATTTTTTCCCTTTTACCTTTTAAAAATATTGTCTCTGTGTGTGGTATATGCATGTGTGTGTGCATATGTGTGTGGGGGTGTGGGGGTGTGCATATGTGTGTGGGGGGGTGCATTCGAGTGTGGGAGTGTGGAGTACCAGACTTCATGTGTGCGAGGTATGGGGGGTGCCAAATTCAGGTGTCTTCTATCACTCTTCACCCTATTTTTTGAAACAAGGTTTCATATTGAGCCTGGCATTTATGGATTCATCAACAATAACTTGTGGCTGGAAAGATAGCTCAGCAGTTAAGAGCGCTGACTGCTCTTGTGGGAAACCCAAGTTCAATTCCCAGCATCCACACTCACAACCACTGGGAACTCCAATTCCAGGGGGCTTACTGCCATTTTCTGGGGCCCTTGGATACTACATAAATGGTGTAGTTGCATATGTGCAGGTAAAACTCTCAGACACATACAAAATTAAATCAGTCTTTACCAGGGAAGACAGACAGAAAAGCTGGCCAGTGAGTTCCTGTGATCCTTCTGTTTTGGCTACTTGGGCGCTAGGATTTCAGGTGGACACCCCCACGCCTGGCTTTTCACGCAGGTGCTTGATTTCAGGGTTTATGTGTGCATGGTAAGCCCTCCATTTACCCACTGAGCATCTTTCCAGCCGACCCCTTTCAGTTTTTATATTCTGAAAACATGCACGGTTTCATCTGAATCAGCAGAAGGTTTCTTCCTCCGGTCTTGCTCTGGATACCATGTGGCCTGTTTGGGGACTGTTCAGGCAGGCCCCCTCGCTTTCTAACAAAGGTACGGACTACAGATAAGTCATTGTGGAAGCTGCTTGTCTAGAGCCAGGGTAGGCGTTTAGGTGCTTTTGCTATCAAACCAGGGGCTTCAGGCTGGTCCCAGACCTCCCAAGGAGTGTGCCCTATGTCTTGAAAATGGCCTTGCTCTGAATCTCCTTGGATAGCAGACTGACGTGCAAATCTGTGTTCTGACTTGTCCCCATGCCTGTCGGCGTGTTTTCCTCTTGTCAGCAGCAATTGACTGGTCAGGCTCACCCCTGTACAGCAATTGTAACAGCTCATTGACAGACCAGTGACCCAGCTGGACCTGATAATGGAAAACTATTGATTTTCGTGGGTTCCACGGATCTCAGATGAACGGCCGATGTAATGTCATCAATTGTCTCAGACTCTTGATAACCCAGGGGGAAAGTTTCAGGGTTGCCTGGATTTTCTGACAATACTGCTTCAGAATTACACAGAGCGATGGGAAGAAGCAGCCCCGTTTCCTGGTTTCCTGGGTGATTTTCTCGGATGATCCCCATTAGTCCTTCAGAGCATCCATCCCAAGGTGGATCTACCTATCAGAGCATCCACCCCAAGGCTTATAAATACATTGTCCAAAGAGGGTTAGCAGTTAAGTAGTTGAACTGAGACCTTACACATCACTTAGTAGACACTTGTGGAGAGAATGGGGCAGGGGACAGTGCTTAAAACAGTTGTTTGTTTTTGGCAATGTTGTGAGTGGAACCCATTCTTACTGATCCATCTTGATGATGAACCACACAGCTATCCCTAGCTATTTGTTACAACATGGAAAAAGGGAAAAGTTGAGAGAAACCCAAACTGGATGATGTCTCCAATGGTCCTGATCTGTGAAATCATGACAGAAGTATTGCTTCTGCTTGCCTTTGCTAATTTGCTTGAAGTATAAAGGACATCTTGAAAATTGTGCAGCCCTGTGTTTAAATGCCTTGTATGGGAGATAGTAAACAGTCACTTAGATTTGATTTTCAAAACTTCCCTCGCTCATCGCTTAAAAATCATCAGACAGTGATGAGATTGGAGAGCAGTTTCAGCCACTAAGGGCACCTGTTGTTCTTGCAAAGGACCCACCAGGCATGCACAGACATACATGCAAACAAAACACTCATACACATAAAATAAATCCATCTTTAAAAAAAAAAAGTAAAACTAAAAACTCTCAAACACTGCTTTGTGCATCTGAAAGAATTTCTTTTTAAGCCAAATTAGCAATTTTTCCTAGTAGAAAAAAAAAATAGTGATGACCCCATCTTGTATGCTGAGTTCTGATGGATAAAACATTCATTAACAGCCTCTGTCAAAAGGAATGTCCTTTGAAAAGAAGAAGGAGAGGGAAAGCTATCGAACCTCCGTGTTGACCCAATGTACCGAGTTCACAGTCTACTTATTGTGAGAACATAATCATCTCACAGTCTTGATCAAATTGAGACACAGTAAGAAGACGGTTCTATAAGGGAGCCTGGTGAGCAGATTAGAGAGTGTGGAGATAACAGGCTTACCTCTCTGGCTGTGTGCTCAAAGTCTACTAGAGAGAGAAGTTGCAGTGAGGAGCCAGAAAACACATACCTCAGGGTGATGAGCCCCTGCCTGACAGGGTCTTATTCACTGGACTTTGCTGTCTTCACACTCTCCAGTAATGGTCTCTCTATGGGCTGTGATTCGCTTTGCCCCTAAAACACTACACCTGGTCTTCCAGTGCTACCAAAGCCAACATTGCTCATTGTATGTCACTTTGTGAAGACATACATGGAGGAAGCCTAAAAAGAAATGCAGGTAGACAAAACAAATCAACGCTACTTGTACTGCTAGAAACCACATAGTACTTGGCAAATTGTCCACTGCTAAGATAGAGGTTATGATGACAGTAGGTCAGAGGTCTGAGCTAGGTGTTCCAGACTCTGGGGCTCTTTGGGGCAGAACAAAGTGTAGGCAGCAGGATCAACAGCAAGGAAGACCTTATTTTCAAATTGTTGAGTTTGTTCTTTGGTAATTTCATATGCATACAAAGTGGGTCTTTTCCCCCTCTTTTTTTGTCTTAAGAGACATTTTTCAAGAAGTGCTCCTGATTTTACTCCCAACTTTATATGGCGCTGTGCCCCAAGCCTAGTCCTAATGTAGTTGCTGGCAAGAGGAAAAGATTGTAACTGACTTGCTTATTGAATGAATCTGTATGCATCCTCTGGCAGTAGACACAGCCTCCCTCCCCACCTAAAGATCAACTACCTGGAGTGCAGAGGGGTTGGGGAGGGTGTCTCTGTTAGCAAGAAAGAAAGTGGGCCATGTGAACTCAGGGCAACTGTGTGACAGTGACTCTTAGAAGTGATTCATCATCTAAGAACTTCAGGACCCCAGATGATGAGCAAGTATGGGTAACATGGAAAAGCACCAAGGCACCAGTGAACTGCTTTGAGACCTGATTGGACCTTCCATCTCTGTTAGAGATGGTGAAAGTCATATCATTGACCCAGGATAAAAGACCAGAGCTGCTCATCCAAGCCCTGTTCATCCCAGTCCACCAATATTTTTGACCAAAGAATCTTAGGAGATAACGCTGGGCACAATGTCTCACAACTCTAATCCCCACACTTGGGGGACAGAGGCAGGCAAGTATCTGAATTCAAGGTCGACTCCAGGAAAGCCAGGGCTGTGTAGAGAGACCCTGTCTCAAAAGACAAAAAACAAGTTAACAACAAAAGGATCTTATGAGAATGATGGTTGTTTCAGGATTCTGAGATTTGGAGTAGTTTAGTTATTACATACTAACAGGCATCTAAAACATACTAGAATTCAAGTCTGGGATCTGTCTTGTTTATATATAAAGGCACTAATAGGTTTGGTGTCTAAACCTTCCTAATGCTGTGACCCTGTAATGTAGTTCCTCATGTTGTGGTAGCCTCCAACCATAAAATTATTTCTGTTGCTACTTCATAACTGTAATTTTGCTACTATTATAAATCATAAGGTAAATATCTTTGTTTTTGATGGTCTTAGGCAACCCCTATAAAAGGGTCATTTGAGCCCCCCCAGGGGTCGTGACCCACAGGTTGAGAACTGCTGGTTTAAACTAAAAGACAGGGAAAGGTAGACTATACAAACAGCGGCACATGGCAAGTACAATTAGTATATTAATGTCAGACTAAAGTAAACTTTTAGACAAACACCTGAGGAAAAGAATGTTTCCATAATAATAAAAGGTGCAATTCATAAGGAAGATTTTACAACTGTGTGTCAAAATTAGTTTCAAAATAAATATTCAATAAGTGCTAAAACTAAACAGAAATATAACATTTAGATTTTAATTAGAGTTTTAACAACCTCTTACAAATAGGCCTTGCCCAAGTCATTAAGAATATAGAAAAATGGATAGCACAATCAACCCTTCTTGCCATGATTGACATTCACAGAACAACACACTTGGCATCAGAGTCTGCATTGTTTTCAAGGGCACATAAAATACTCACCACAGAAGACCATATGGTAGACCATAAACTAGGTCTCAATAAATCTGAATAGACTGAAATCATACAAAATAAGTTTCTTGAGTAAAATTAGAAATATAAGATATTGTTTAAAGGTCCCAGTATTTAGAAATTAAATGGCAAACAGCTGATCCTTTGTATTAGGGATTGTGCGTCTTGGATTCAATCAACCGAGGTTAAAACATACTTAAAGGGCATTGCACATGTGTTGAATACACACAGGGAGGGCTGGGGCATAGCCCAGTTGCTAGAGTGCTTGCCCAGCATTCATGAAGCCACAGTTTCTATCCTTAGTGCTCCATAGACTGACTATGGTGGCATGGCACATGTCTACAGTACCAGCACCTGGATCAGAGCTTGAAGCATCTTTGCCTACATAGTGAGTTTGAGGCCAGAGACCAGAGACCCATTCTCAAGCAAAGAAAAGCATACCTATGAGGTGCGTGCAAATACTACGGTGGTCTATATTTTGAGCAAATAAATGATGTAATATGACTTTCTGTTTTTAAAGGTTTATTTATGTGTTATGTTTGTATTGTGCCAGGAGCGCAGTACTTCTACAGGCCATAAGAGGGCATTGGATCCCCTGTATCATCTGGAGATAAGTGAAGTTGTGAGTCGCCTGAACTCCTGGCAAGAGCAGTGGGACTCTCAACTGCTGAGTCATCATCTCTCCAGCCCCTGTAAGGTGTTTTAACAGAATAACCTGACTGAACAGGTGGGAATAGGTAAAAAGAAAATGAGGAGGAAGAATAGCTGCTTGCCAGGTAATGCATGGTAGTGATTTTCATCAGGGGGTCAAGAGCGAAGACTGCATTTTCCCCTAGACTTTATTGAGATGTGATTCATACACAAAGCATATCCATGTTCCTGCTTCCACACCCAAGGTACAGCACGCTCAGCCACCCGAAAACGTCCTTTTGCAGTCAATGAACTCCACCCCCAGGCAATCATTGACAGGCTTTATGTCCTTAGATTTCTCTTCTCTTTTCTGTACTCTCAAATAAACTAGGACTACAGCTTATAGCTCTCTCTCTCTCTCTCTCTCTCTCTCTCTCTCTCTCTCTCTCTCTCTCTGTGTGTGTGTGTGTGTGTGTGTGTGTGTGTGTGTGTTTCTGTGCTCAGTTTGTTTGAAATTTTCCTGTTTTCTCATGCATTAGTAGTCTACTTTTTCCAAATATTAGCCCATGGTTTGTGTGAGCCACAGTTTGTTTATTCATTACTGTTAGTGGACATCTAGGTAATTTACACCTTTGAATTTCGAAGAATAAACCAACTGTATTCGTGTATACAGATATTTGTGCAAACATGTTTTGTTTCTCTTTAATGCCTATGAATGTGATTCTTATGGGATGTCACGAGTCATGGTAAGATGTTTAACTTGACAAAATGTGTGGGTTTTTCATTTTGTTTTAAGATTTATTTATTATGTATACAGTGTTCCATCTGCATGTATGCCTGCAGGCCAGACGGACGGAATCCGATCTCATTATAGATGGTTGTGAGCCACCATGTGGTTGCTGGGATTTGAGCTCAGGACTTCTGGAAGAGCAGCCAGTGCTCTTAATCTCTGAGCCATCTCTCCAGCCCTCCCTCCCCCATGACAAAATATTTTACAAAGTGGCTGTGTTATTTAACATTCTGATGTGTGTGGTTTAGGAACAGATGCCCAGGAACACTTCCCTGCCTTTTCATTGCAAGCTGGATATATGGACTCACCTTTACCTTTCATCTCTGCAATCTTTGCACACCTGGGACTGCTGCAGATAATATTTAGTCTAGACACCCCATCTGTGTTTTCAGAGGTTGCACCTAGAAATGCTATTGTGAAATTTTAACCTACAAAGTTTTGTGTGAGTTCATGCTTCCAGTTCTTTCTTTCAAGGAACTAACAAAATGTTTCCTGAGGTGCAATCTTTTTACTCCTAACAGCAATATGTGAGGTTTCCAGTTTTCCCACATCCTTGCCAACATTACCTGTTTAAACTTTTTAAATGTTTTTAATTGTGTGTGTGCATATAAGCATAACCCTCACTACACAGACAGTACTTGCCTACAGTGGGCAGTTTGGGGAAGCTGGTTCTCTCTGGCTACCATTTTGTCCTAGGAATCCAGCTCAGATGGTCAGACTTGGCAGCAAGTGCCTTTATCCCCGAACCACCTCATGATGACTTTTAATAGTTTCAATCCACTTTCTATCATGGTGTATACCTTTTCTTATATATTACTCTGATGGGAGATGTCATTCTGTATATGTTTCTCATACTGGTTAATAAATAAAGCACTGTTGGCCAATAGGAAAGGAGGATAGGAGGGACTAGGAGACAAGGAGGAAGAGGAAGTAGTGAGGAGTCAGCATGGAGAGACCGGGGAGACCAGACACCTGCCTCACTCCCCGGTAAGGAGACCACGTGGAAATACATAGAAATGGGTTAATACTTAAGACAGAGCTAGCCTATAAGAAACAAATAATGGGCCAACAGCATTATATCAAATACAGAGTCTGTGCGTTATTTGGGGCTGGCATGGCGGCGGGACAAGACCAGCAGCAGGCAGAAAAAACCATACTCGTTACATTACTCAGTTTTTGCAAGTATTTTGCTGATGCTTTCATGTGTACGTAAGAGATATTGTGGGTGCTTTTTAAAAATAATGTCTTTAGAATGAGTTATAAGGTATTTCTCCTCGTCCCGTCCTTCTCCTTATGAAGGTTGAGCATCACCATCAATTATCCTTTAAACATTTGGAAGAATTCACCAGTGAAGCCATGTGGTCCTACCTTTCCCTTTGTTGAAAACTGTTTTTATTACTAATTGTTAACATAAGCAAATATACTTAAGTTATCCAAAAGTGCAACTAGAAACAGGGCTGTAAATGTCATGGTAAATTGTTTTCAGGTATGCAAAGGGAGATAGAAGGGTTTTTAGGTAAAATTAAGGGGTGGCAGAAGCTCTCTGGAGAGGTGATCCATCCAGTCAGCATTGGTATCACAGATGACATCACTCAAGGACTGACAAGAAGATGTCCTCACAGAAGCAACTATTGTGCAAGGCTCTGCCAGTCTTGTGCCTGTTTCAGCAAGTTCCTCTCCTTATGCAGGATGAGTAGCAATGACCCTTCCCCTCATCTCTGATGGTACTGAGCC